GCGCGCCGGGACCTGCCGGTGCACCAGCAGCTGGATGGGCGGCTCGCCGGAGCTCTGCAGCACGAACTGCTGCGGCGCCCCCGCGCCCATCACGGGCTGGATGTGGATGATCTGCGGGCCGCCGAGGCCCACCGCCGGCGTCACGCTGAGCTTGGGCACCGGCTGGCCCGCGGCGACGCTCTTGGGGTGGAACACGGCCAGGGGGGGCAGGGGGCTCTCCTTGGGCTCGGGCAGGGTCTGGCTCCGCACCTGGATGCGGATGGTCTCCAGCTGCTGTCGGGAGGAGGGAGAGCGTCAGCGTGCCACGCCAGCAAGGGAAACAACCCGAAACAGAAAGCTGCCGCAGTTGGAACTCTGCCCAGAGGCCCGACACTGGCAGCTATAAAAACATTTTTAGAATCAAACGAAACTTCACATGTTTCTTAGAAATCAAACAAAACCTCAGCGCAACCTCTATGAGTAAAGGAACAGGTTCCAGCAGGAACCACAGTTAAAACGTAGCGTTTCTTTTCTCTTCCTTTCAGCATGGAGTGAACCTGAACATTACCTGTTCCTTTGCAGCCTACCTGCGCTGATAGAGCTCAAAGCTATTAAAGCCTCAGTTTTCAGTCGAGATCGGTGCCTCTCAATTTAAACATAAGAGGACTTATGTGCCGCCGAGCCGATTTTACAGGGCTGCTACCCGAATACAAGGACTGCCTTCCAAGCTACGGTTTCAAGATGACTGGCACTTACTTAAACCTGCCCGCCACCATGAATAGCACACACCGGGTTCACACTCGGTTTCCCCAGGGGAGAGGAAGGTGGCAAACGTAACGGCGAATATGAGAGAGACGCGAATCAGGGCCCAAGGCACCCACACTGAACGTGGCCGCCCGAAACGCAAAACGCTGTCTGTCCCGCACCGCCGCCACCACCACCAGCCCGATGTCCGGCCCGTACCTTTTTCTGGATCAGGCGGGTCCCGTTCTGCGACTGGCTCTGCTGGAGCGCCACTTGCTTGGCGACGTGCTGCAGCTGCCGGGACGCGTTCTGCATGATGGCCAGGGGCGGCGCGCCGGCCGCCAGCTCCAGCGGGCCTCCGCCGCCGCCGCCGCCGGGGAACAGGCAGCCG